TTTAGTCTGTTAAATAAATGGTTATACTGTTCGGCCCGCGAGTTTTGAGTTTTGGCCCCCTGTGCAATTGAGTTTGACACCCCTGGTATAGAAGAAGCTTGCACTGTTTGCAACCCTTTGCTGTTCCAAAGCACCTCAATCTTCAGAGCTGTCAGGGTAGCAGAAAATTTGCACACAATTAAAAACCCATGGCATGTATTGTTTGACATACCACATTTTTTAGAAGTACAGCGATATAGACTATAGGAATTCAACCCTTTTTCTAAAGTATCAGCTCTTCCCCCCCCACACACACAAAAACACTGAAAATGCCTTGAGAACTGTACCTATCTAGTACTTAACGTGGACTGTTGGGCATTAGGAGAAATGAGAAGCTGCTCTAACGTAATGAACACACTATGGTGACCAAGATATCTGACAAGATAAGAAAGGGCAGAACTGCTAATTCTCTGTCATGATGATATGCACTGCTAGGAATGTTCTTATATTTGCAGTGGGGTGGAGTGGGTAATCCATTAGGTCTTCTGTATCTCTAACTTCCATGATTCTGTGGCCATGTGATTGGGATCCCAGCAGACACTGCAGTAGGGATATGGAAAAGAGGGTAATGCAGCAGTCTTAATTGACTTATTTTCCTTCTCTCTAGGATCTTCTTCTGGCTCCAAAATGGCCCTACAGGGTTCCTTCAACTGTTGGAATGGAACAGTAATCAAACTGGGGCAGGCATGTGATTTCATCAGGGACTGCGCAGAGGGAGAGGACGAGGGAGATATGTGCAGTGAGTAAATTCTGACCCCCAGTTTACATCCTTTCACCTCCTTTCTGAAAAATGGGAGCCAGATGTTGCTTCCCAAATCACAGGAGCTTTGAATGAACACATGAAGGCTAATAGCCAGAGAAACAGCCTTGTACCCACCTTGCCTCAGTGACTACTGCCAGTCATCATCTAGCCCCCTCTCACTGGCGCAAACTGCAGTCTGTAATGGCCACTCATCATTGTCAAGGGGGTTGGACCTGCGCCTTTCCCTGCAGCCCCAGTCCCTCCCCTGGCTTTTAGCCAGGCCTCAGCCTGGAAACTCACCTGGCCTGAGCCCCCCAGCTTTGCCTGCCCTTCCCCAACACTGCTCTGCTTGAGGTACCCTGTGCTCCCAGGCAGCTAGACCCTTCTTACTCCAGGGCTGGAATGAGACTGACCCAGTGCCTCCCTTAGCTCTTATATCAGGGCCAGCTGTGGCCTGATTGGGTGTGGCCACAGCTGTGGCTGCTACTCAGCCAGCCTCCCTCAGCTGCTCTCACGCTTTTTCTCCTAGGAGCAGAGTAACTGCCCGGCATACACTATCACACAACTGGGCGTGGGGAGGAATAGCTGTACAGGTGTGAAAAGTGCATATTAACCCCACTTTATAACTGAGGACGTGACCTGTCTGAGGTCACAGAATGAGTCTGGGAAAGAACCTACCTTTCCTGGCTCCTAGTCCTATGCTTTGACCACTAGTCAGTCCTTCCTCCCAAAAATATCTCTGTTTGCTCTTCCTCCTTTTCCTTATTTAAATAGCCATTCCTGGGCAATCTGCAGTCTGACATAAAGCTATGTCTATGCTACAACCTAAGGGTGAGATTCTGCTGCTCACGTACACATACTCGCACTGGCTCTCCTTGAGCTAACACAAGTATAAAGAGCAGCGTAGTCATGGTGGCACAGGTAGCAGCAGCAGAGGCACAGCTGAACCATCCCAAGTAGAAACCTACTTGAAAACCAGCAGTTGTGTACTCGGCACAGCTTAGCCATGCCTCCATTGCTCCTACCTATGCAGCTATCTATGCTCATTCTAGCTCAACGAGAGCCAGTGCAAGTATGTGTATATGAGATGGGGACGCACACCCGTAGCTCACAGTATAGACACAGCCCTATGATGACACATTTTGAGATCATCAGTTTCTTGAGTTTGCCTTAAATTTCTACATTCCTGAATATTTCACCGATGGTTGTACTGTTCCAGAGTCATCTATATAATGGGCTCTGTGATGCATGGTCTTCTTTTTAGTTGTTACTGTAGTAAGACAAATCCTAGATAAATCTGTGACCTCATGCATTGTATCTACCGCAGTTGACTCTTCTCAGCCTTTTAAAGAGATGTCAGTGCTAATAAAAGGTGCTGGATTGACAGTCCTGGAGACTGAATACTTCTGCTTCTCCACAAAACAGGTACATCAAGGGCAGCAAACGGGGGAAGCTTATCCTGTGCTGCCCTGTATGTACCTCAATCCTGACTTGGAGGGAACCAGCTCTAAGGCCAGGCTGAACGACATACTTTTGCTGGCACAACTATGTCAGTCAGGGTGTGATGAACTGTGATCCCTGAACAATCTAGCAGTGTTGGTAGAAGTCTCTAGTAAAAACAACAAGGAGTCCTTGTGGCACCTTAGAGGTTAACAAATGTATTTGGGCATCAGCTTTCATGGGCTAGATATAGTGGCGAAACTGCACGTTTGCCAGTATAGTTCACTTCACTTCTGGGGAACTAGACTAAGCTATGCTGGCAAAAGTGAAACTTTGCCCATATAAGCTCTGTCCACACTTTGCATGCTTTGCCGGTATAGTATACTGTATTCCTACGCTGGCAAAGTGATCCTACTGTATATCTAGCCTAGGAGTAACATGGGAGACCATAGAGAATTCCACCCTCTTTACTTCTAGCAAGTGTGCCAGTCAAATCAATGGTGTCATAAATTTTTATGCAATGTATAACTGGCATCTGAACTAAGAGCACCAACATAGCTCTTATAGGCTACCAAATAGCTTTTAAATGGTTAACTTTTGACATGACCACTAGAGTTTTTACAGGTGAAATTTGTTAATGAGCCTCCCAGCCCGGGTAGAGAGACTCACACTAGGGCCCTAAAAATAGCAGTGTATAGATGTTATAGATCCAGCGGAGGCCTGGACTAGCTACCCCAGCTCAGACCCAGGGCTCAGGTGGGCTTGAGAGCCTGAGCTGCCATCCAAACTGCAACAGCCACACAATTTTTAGCATGCTAAAAATTTAGCAATTTTGAGTCTGTCTACTCGGCGTGGGAGGCTCACTTCCAGCTGCAGTGTTCACATACCCAGTGGTTCACAGCAAACAGGTTTTCATAATAGCAGTGATGCTACATATAATGTTGACCTGAAGCAGATTTGAACTGGCAACCTAGATAAAGCTGTTTTTCACATTACCAATCTCCTGATCCATCCAGTCCTTCTCTGAAACACTGCATTAAAATTAAAATACACTTAAAAATGTCTCACTTACAGATCTCAAAAAATCCCCCTTTTGTCTAAAACCTTCAAGCGTAGCTTTAAAAAAATGTAATGGGATTTTTATTGTATTTTAATATTTAATTAAAAACAATAAATGGTGACAATTAGAATTCTTTTTACCACTGACTATATTTCACGTCATTTCTAGCAGGAAGTTACATTACTTACCCAGCCCAATAAATGGATCGTCTATATATGTGTTTTATGTCTTGTATCTGCTGTGCATAAATTCCTGTCTGTACTGTTAGGAGCATTGTAGTGTGGGAAGTAGAGCTGTACCAGTTGTTATTACGATCCAAGAACCATCCTTCTGGAATAGGACAGACCTATGGGAGCATGCTTATTGTTTCTCTGACAAGGAGGATGCACCTCTGGCCAGCCACAGCATGCACGCACTAGCTGGTGGTGGTGGAGGGGGAGGGGTTGGTTGTGCTCCTAGCTGCCAGATCCCACACCATGGTGGGTCAGCTGGCCAAGCAGCCAATGCCCCTCTCCCAGTGACATGAAATGCATACACCATATATGGCTCATTTCACCCACCATTGAAATGTCAACATCTATAGTCAATGGAGTTATGCAGTCAGAGAATTTGGCCCACTATGTCCAGCTGAAAATACCATGAGAGTAAAACATGAGCAGATTATAATTAATTACCTTAGAAATCTGAGTTCCCATTTTCAGCTCTTGGGGAGAAAATAATAGACAATTTTGAGTTTGACCACAACATAATATTCTGAAAGACAGCATCCTCAGTAAAACTGTGACCCTTCATTCTAGGGTGTGAGAAGAGTGCCACCTCTAGAGTCACTTCCTTCAGTACCTAGGTTTCCAATGGTGTGATAGGCTGCCTGGCCTTCTGAAAAACCTAGTGATTCACGCACCTGACTTCCAGCTCTTTGCCTTCTCTAAAAGCACACTAGACGTGCCTGTCCTTGACCCTAACCTGGGAATCTTTGGATTTTCACCTGCTGCTAGGCCTCAGCCCCCAAAAGGGATGTAGTGGGGGAATGCGGCCTTCCATCTCCACCAGGTCCCAGTCCAGGGCCAGGTGGGAACCAACACTGGAAGGGTCCTCCATACAGCGAGTCTGATTGCTGCTCTGGGCTACTTCCTACTTATATGACCCTTTAGTCTGGGGCCTGGCCCCTGAAGTCCAGTCAGTCATTTAAAGAGTCAAAAGGAGCAAGGATTTGCTGGTTCTCAAAGGGGGTGATGGTTGGAGAAGGTACTGCCTATGGGCCTTACCCACTCTGTGGTCCCCTCTCAGACTCAGCCTGCTGTCTGGCTTCCTGAAGAAGGATTTCTCTCTCCTGCAACCTGTCCACCCCTGTGCCTGGGCTTCTCAGTGCCTTTTAACCCACTCCTCCATCTAGAGCATGTTCAGGAGGCTACTTGAGCCCACTCTTGCCTTTTAGCCCCTTCAGGCCCAGCGTAAGGTTTGTATACCCCATCACAATTGGGTTCTCCAATCTTAAGTACTGACCAAGCCCACCCCTGCTTAGCTCATGAGTACTAGTCCATTCAGTTCTATTATTCAATTCTCTGCTGTTGCAGAGCTGCCCTGACCATATGGGACATTGCCTATTGTTGGCATAAGATTCTTTTGCAGAACAAAAAACAATCAAACATTTTACACATCAATTACATCAGTTTATCAGACCAACACACAATGTACCAAATCTTTTTCAGCATTAAGGTTGTCATTTAGTCCTGATAACTTAAACACTTTCATCAGTGTTTTCAAGCATGGGGAAAAAATGAATCATTGTTGTCGGTTGTTTGAGTTTTTTGTTTTATGTTTTCCCCAAGCATTGCTGCCACATACACAAAAGAACTGTCAGAAAGGGTCAAGCCAAATTATTAACTGATGGTTTCTCTCTTTATGAAGTTCAAGGTCTTGTGTTTTTCTACTGTTTCTTTTGGTTTTGAAGATACTGATTTTGTCTTTTCTTCTTTTTCTTTTGTGTTTTGTTTTGTTCTTTTCCTGCCTCAAAATGATCCCTAAAGCCTGCTGTCTGTTAACACCTCTTTACTTATTAATGGCCAATGAAAATGTCATGATGGTTCTGCTACATACAGCCAATTAGTCTTTGTAGAATAAGTAGAATCAGGGACCCCTGGAGAAAAGAAATGTTGCTGTTTGATTTTTAATCAAACAGTCTTGCAGGGAAAAGAGACCCCCTCAAAGAAGCATAAATGGAATCAGATGCCAAATCATGGTGGTTTGGGGTCATATGTACAAATGTAACAGACTGTCAACAGTGTGCTTGTAAAGGAATTTCCCCTACTGAATATTGATTTCTCCCCCAGTTATCTTGTGATCATGTTAGGATTACTTGAGGGGGGTCCTACAAGACCAACTTCCTGTGATTGCAGGGGAACCTGGATGTATATAATCAAGCTGGTTTATGTCTTTTGTTCTCTCTATTTTGATAGTATTGTGGGGGGGGGGAAGGGGTTGAAGCTCTGCATTTGTG